GCGCCCGTCCGGGTCGAGGGATTCGGAAATTGATATTGTGTGCTCGGCGGAAGCCAAGCGGTGGTAAACGCAAACCCCCAGGAGAGATTGATCTTTCGCCGCGATGGAATGAGCCTTGAGGAAGGGCGTCCTGAGGCCCTCCTCGCCGTCGTCAGCCTCCAGAGACTTTTCCCAGGCCCTGGGGCCGTCAAGGAACGACTCAGGATGAAAACTTGGTCGTCCGGATCCCCCTCCGTCGCGCCAGCAAAAGAGAGAGACAGAGAAAGAGAGAGAGAGAGAGAGAAGAGAGAGAGAGAGAGAGGAGAGAGGAGAAAGAGAGAGAGAGAGAGAGCAGTGTCTCGGAATACTTGCGACTTCAGGAATCGGCCCTGCGGGCGCGGACAGCGTAATTTACAAGGTTCCAGCGTATTTCACAAGGGATCCTGGCGCTGGAAGCGCGAACCCAGCGTAATTTACGAGGGATCTTGGCCCTGGGAGCGCGGAGCCAGTGTAATTTACGGGGGGTCGTGGCCCTGGGACCGCAGACGCAGCCCTAACTTATCAGGATTGCGGCACGGCGTACTTTGCGAGGGATCTTAGCTCTGGCAGCGTGAACCCCGATATGGCCCCATGAGCAACATTTGGGGGACATATTGGGGTGTTCCTGGTGCGATATTGTGGCTCTCCAAGGGTCATCATGGGAGCCCCTGGGCCGAGGGGCCATGCCAGGACCATCATGGACCCTTAGAACCATTTTGGGATTATCTTCGGCCTTCGGGGCTATCCTGGGGCCATTTTGGGGCCGCGGGGCCCCGTCCCAGGCGCTCAGACAGCCAACGCCGCCGAAGGATATATTTTGGAACAATTCGGTCTGGGTGGCCCCCCCGTCCCTCGTCCTCCTAGCCCCCTAGCCTCCTAGCCTCCAGCCTCCACCTCTTCCGGGGGGTCGCGAATTAGTGCAGCGCCTTCCCCGCCCCCCCTCTCCAGGTCAATGGCCCCTTTTCCGTCCTCCTCATCGTCCTCCTGTTCCCCCATATTTTCCGTCGCCATTCTGAAACAAGCTGTTCGCTTTTGTCGTTGGCGGTCAGTTGCCGGTCCGTCCGAGGCCAGTTTGCCTGGGGGCTCTCCTCGGTGGCGATTCCTTATCCACCCCGCCGGCGACCGATGGCCCCAGAGTGTCGCATCTGCTTGGACACCATCCACCCCAACGACCCCGGGGACCCCGCACAGTCGTTGGCTTGCGGCCACACTTACCACGCCGATTGCGTGAAGCGTGCCATGATGTCCAAAGGGATTTCGCTCGTCGAGAACTTCCCTTGCCCCCAGTGCCGGGCCACGCAGCTGGGCTTGCAGCTTGCCGAGAACAGCCTTTTCGACGAGCAGCGCGCCAGCAGCCCCGACGGCCCCGCGCCGTCCTGGCCCCCGTCCCCAGGGGGCGAGTCGCACGCGCCAGAGCCCAGCGTTTTCTTTCGGCCGCCGCAGTCGCCAGCGCGGCCGTCTGGCGCGCAGTCGTCGGCGTCGCCGCAACAGCCGGCGACGCCGCGACCGCCCGCGCCCCCCGCGCCAGCGCCCCCGAGCGGCGGCGAGCCGCCTGCCACGCAGCTTTCCCCGCCGAGCTCGGCGCCGTCTCCAACGCAGGAGCAAGGCTCCAGAGGGATGGGGAGCCAGACAGACGTTGGGAGAGAGAGAGAGAGAGAGAGAGAGAGAGAGAGAGAGACCAAGAGAGATCAATATATTCGTCATCAGGCAGGTCTGCCGCGCCGGTGCAGCACATCGCCTCGCTGGGGGCGTCCTTCCGTGACATGTCCAGAGCGGCGGCGGATCGCGCGGCGCTGCCAGATCCGCTGCGCTCGTGGCAGGCCCCGGTTGGCGCGGGACATCCCCCTTCACGGGTAGCGCTGCCGCCGATGGCCCCCCCCCCCGCCCCTCCCTGCGTCGGGTGCCGCGACGGCCCCGGGGCCGCTGCGCGGCATTTGAGGGAGCGGGGGCGGGGGGCTGTGCGCCGACAGCGCTGCTCCGTGGAGGGCGGGGGTTGCAGCGCCCCGACAGGATGACCTGGCCGCGCACGCGTCCGACGACATCACCCTGCTCATGCACGACGGCGCGCTCTTCCGCGGGATGGAGACAGCGGCGGCTCTCCGCAGAGCAGCGCCTGCCTGGTTGACGGAGATTGCCGCGGATGCTCGCACGCACCGCGCGATCGCTGGGGGCCCGACCATGGGGGGCATCCGTTTGCAGATGCCCTTGCCGTTCGTCCTGGCCACGCGCGCCGTGGCGCGCAGCGAGGGCTGGCGCGCCGAGACAGTGATGGCGCCCGTGTTGTCCAATATCGGTTGGTGCGAGCGGCCGGGCCTCAAGCTCCACGTTCGCGACGACGAAGCGCACGGCCGCGCCGCCGTGGTGCAGATTTTCGTGGCAGGTGACCCCAGCATGAGGAAATCCCCCTTGAAGGAGTACACGAGCAAGACTCTCCTGGCCGGCGATGGCGCCCCCGAAGTCCTGCGCTCGGGCGACGCCGTTTCCACCGACGCCACGGTGGAGGGCATCCGCACCTCCATCGCCAATTGCCAGCGCGCGGGGATCGTGAGCGACGAGGTGGCCACCACCTACGCAGTGCGCGCGCGCACGAATCCCGGCCTGCACCCCGCCGACAAGGACAAGCTGTGCACGTGGCTCAATTGCGAGAGAGATGTCGTCTCGACGGGACAGGGCCGCACGGTGCTCAACGATTACGCCTTCGTCCACCAGGTGTTCGGACAGCTCGCCCCGGTCGAGCAGGTGCTGAAGCCAGAAGGGCTCGGCTTCACGAAGCGCTTCCACGTGGCCTCGCGGGGGGTCGAAATGGGCTGCCATGAATTTCGCGCCCCACGGCCCCGCTCCAACTTCTTCCTCCTCCTGCCCGCCCCCCCCCCCCTCGCCCCCTCGCGGGATCCGACGTCCGTGCCCCCCCCATCCCCTCTCCCGCGGCAGGTCTGGCAGACGGCCCCGGCGGAGTGGGCGCCAACGCAGCGCTCGTCGGAGTCGAAGGCATTCTTGGCGGGCTTCTTCGACTGGCTGGGGCAGGTGGCGGACGACGACGAGAGGGACCATTATTTTGATGGGTTCGCTCGCACTATGCTCATGGAGATTTTAGAGGCCGTGTCAGACTTCCTGGCGGAAGACAGAGACCCCCCCCTGAACGAACAGTTCGTGGAGAAGCTCCGTTGGGCCGACGCCGACTTGGCCCGGTACTCGAACGCGCGCATGAGGATGAGGCAGTACGTCGAGCACAAGCGGGGCGGCATTCACGGCCCCCCTCCGCCGGGGGTCGGCCCGCCCGAGGCTGGCGCCTGCGATCGCCCCCCGCAGCCCGTCGTTGCGCGCAAGCCAGCATCGGTCGCCATGTCGATTTGCGATATGGCACACGCGGTGCACACGTGGCGCCACCAGATGCACTTGTGGCACGGGTACTTCGTCCACTGCGACGCCGTGTGGCCGCTCGACCAACCCGGTGAACCGCGGGCGCCAACAGGAGATCCCACCGCCGGCCTGGCCCCCCTCGCGAAGCTCCAGGGGGCGGTCCTGTCGCTGCCGCGCCCCGACGGCGATGGGTGCATGACCACCTCGGACGCCCGGAAGTTGCTGAAGAATTTCTTCCGCAAGCACAGGGCGGAGTTCGCGAGCCCGCGCAACGCGCTGGTCGATGCCGTGGACGACCTGGCCCGCAGCCGCATCGTTGAGAAGAAGGACGCGGAGGGCGCGCCGGATGACGCGGCCGCTGCCAGCGCCGCAGGCGCGGCCCCACCGGGCCCGCCCGCCGCGGCAGGTGATGGCGCCGCGGGCGCGGGCGCAGCGGGACCGCCCAGCGCGGCGGTTGATGGCGCCGCGGGCGCAGACGCAGCAGGCCCGCCCGCCGCGCCAAGGGCAAGGGGCGGCTGGGCGATCACTTCGTTCCGCAAGCGCCCGTGGTCCAGCCTGCTGGACGACGGCGACGCGCAGGCGGCCGTTGTGCGTCTGCGCCTCAGCGGCGACGCTTTTCCTTGATCAACGGGCGCCCGACGGCCCGAAGGGTATGCCGGGCGATGGCCTGCCCATGGGGCGCGCGCATTGGCCGGGCCAACTCTCTCAGCAACGTCCGCGGCAACCTGACTGCGGCTCGTCCGCGGCCGGCCCGCCGAGGGGGCGCCCCCGCCGACCCGGCCAGTTGCCGGTTCGTCCGAGGGCGGCCTACCTGGCAGCGCTGCGCGGGCCGGCCCGGTTACTTTCTTTTTCTGCGCAGCTCCCCAGGCAGCCGGTTGCCGGTCCGCCCGAGGCTGGCCTGCCGGGGGAGCGCGGGCGCGCGCGCGCTGGCCCGGTCATTTCCCTCTTCTGCGCAGTGTCCTGGGCAGCCCATTGCCGGCTTCGTCCGAGGCTGGTCTGCCCGGGGGCGCTCGCGCGCCCGCCGGCTCAGCCACTTTGCTTCCCTGCGCAGTGTCACTGGCAGCCAGTTGCCGGTTCGCCCGAGGCTGGCCTGCCCAGGGGCGCACGCGCGCGCGGGCCGCGTTGCTTTACTTTTTCTGCGCAGCCTCCCTTGGCAGCCAGTTGCCGGTTCGCCCGAGGCTGGTCTGCGCGGGGGGAACGCGCGCTCGCCGGCCCCGTTGCTTTACCTCTCCTGCGCGCTGCCGCGGAGAACGGATCTTTCTGATTTTCGTCATCTTGCTTCTGCACCTGCTCCTTCTCCTCCTCCTGCTGCTGTCCCTCCTCCTCCTGCTGCCGCCCCTTCTCCTCCTTCCCCTCCTCCTCCTCCTCAGCAGCAGCAAATTTGGTTGGATTTCTCGAGTCTGCCGCGCAGCGGCCCGAGGTGGTGCGCCCTCTGCCGCCGGCGGCCAGTGCGTCTGAAGCGCCCCTCTTGACGCTAGTTGCCAGTTCGTCCGAGGCTAGCGAGCAGGCGCCGCCGCGCGCCTCGCGGCGCGCCGTCCGCCATGGAGACGACCGCAGCCAAGTGCCCCCGCTTGGCGCCCGGTCGGGCTTTCACGGTCGGTTGCCCCAGAGTGGCCGTTGCCATGCTTAAGGGCTTCAAGCGAATCGAGTCCAAGCCCGAGACGTCGAACTGCATGCCAGTCGGATGGTATTACCTGCACGTGGGCAAGAGGCCCCTCCAGCCAGCAATGGCAGACAAGTGCACCATCGCCATGGAGGCGACGTGGCCGGGGGCGCCAGAGGCCGACGCGCTGCCCCGGTCCAGCGTGTACGGGGCGGTTTTGGTCGGCAAGGTCGTCGACGCCAGCGCCTTGGAGACCCCTTGGGCATTCGCAGAGTGGCCAAAGGCCCACGTGATCCTGGAATCCCACGAGCTTCAGTCCCCGATCCAAGGAGTGAAGGGCCAGCAGAGCGTGTGGCGCCCGCGGCTTGCGCGACGAACGCCAGCCCCCCAGATTCGCCCCCAGGGGCAATTGCCGGATCGATCAGAGGAAAAACTTTCTGACCGGGGAGGGTCGCTTCAGACGGGGACCTCGGGGCCGGGGCCATTGCAGCCTTCCGCCAGGTACATCCACGACCCGGGTAAGCAGGGGTCGTTGACCGAGGCCCTGGCGCAGGCGACCCACCACGTCTTCCCGCCGTTCGCGCCTGAGCTGGCCGACGCGAGGGCGACGTCAAGGCCTCGAAGGGCCGCCGCTGTCGGCGCGCCCTGGCCCCGCAGGCTCCCCGCCAAGCGGCGCAGCGACGCCGGGGCCACGAGGGGCGCCAAGGCCTTGCGCGCCCGGCGCGGACAGAGCCGGATGCAGCCAGGACCGCCGGTGCCCGAGGAGAGCGCGGCCAAGGCCCCCGCGTCGCTGGTCGCTCCTGACGCGCCCGCCGGCCGAGGCGTCGAGAGGCGTTCCCTGGCGCAGCGCGTGGCGGCAAGCCCAGACATCCTCCGTCATGATTTTTTCAGGGCGCCTTCGACGCTCTGGTTTTTCGAGAACGTCATGATTTTGAGTGGATGTTCTGATTTTTTTTCAGGGCGTCCTGAATTTTCGCAAGATGCCCTGATTTTTTTGTTATGTCATGATTTTTCGCAGGATGCCCTGAATTTTTGTTTGGTGTCCTGATTTTTTCCTGGATGTCCTGATTTTTTCCGAATGCCCTGATTTTTCGTGGTGTGTCCTGATTTGCCTCGATGTTACTTCACAGCGCAAGATAACATCTTTACTTTTAACATCGCTTCCGCGCGCGAGGGTGACCTTGGTCACCCGCGGTACTACAGTGCGCAAAATTCAAAGCTTGAATTACGCATGGTGTTTTGCGTGGCAGGCGTGCGCGCGTCTCCCGCGGCGCGCGTTCGCCAGGCATGTTCAGTTGCCCATTGCGTTCAAACTTGAAGATCGCTTTCGCACGCGTGCGCGCGTCACCCGTGTTCGCGTGCGCGGCGCGCCAGCCGCGGCTGGCGCGCGGCATGTTGGCTTGGCATTTACCCTAGCGCGCGTTTTCAACATGCGCGCGTGTGTCTACATGTGCTTAGCTTTTTCAGCGGAAGAGGTTCGCTCTCGCCCTGCAAATCAGTGTCTACACGTCTTATCAAAAAAGTGGGGAATGGAGTGGGCTACAGTTCAAGGGATCCCCCCTCCCTCCTCCCCGTTCTCCCCTTCCCCCTCGCGGACTTCCTCCCGTGTGGATGGAAGCGGACTTCCCCCCTCCCTCCTCCCCTTCCTTTCTTCCCTCATCGATCCTTATTCCTCTCGTGGGTTATCTTGCGGCCCCCGTCGGTCGTGCCGCCCATGAGGTATGCGCTCGATCGTCGGCCCTGCCCTCGCCGCCCGTCGCCAATCGGGTCGAACGCGGCGGGGCCCCTGGCCTGCATGTTTTTTTCGTGGCCGCGGCGCCATGACAGACAGCGCTGGTGCCCCTGCGTCTTCGCCCCCGTCGGGGGCGAAAACTATGGCGAGGCACCAGCGCACGGCAAAGGTTCCAATTAAGTTGGTCGCGGGGGCCCTGGCGAACATCGCGGAGGAGTGGCCGACATTGAAACAAGGCTTTCTGGGGAAACCAGGGAAACCAACTATGACGCCCCGAGGTCAACGACTCAAGTAAGGAAGACGCCTACCCCACGTCTTCCTTACTTGGATCGCTGGCCTCGGGCGTCCACGTTCTGAACTGCGCGAGCGCCCGCATGAGGGGTGCCCGACTTCCAGTATACTGTGCTGAAGTTCGACTACCGTCCCAAGATGGCGGAGATCGAGGCCTTATCGGGGGGCAGCAGGCAGGAAGGAGTGAGGCAGTAAGAGTGGATACGTTTGCAAAGGAGGGGGAAGGTGAAGGAAGGACAGAAAGCAGGACGGCAATAATGGAGGGAACGGAAACGCGGAAAGGAAGGGAGGGAAGGAGGGAGGGAAGGAGGGAGGGACGAAGGGAATTAATGAGGGAATGATGTATGAAGGGAGGACGCTCGAGGAGGTGCAGTGATAATTATAACATGGTGGTCATGCCGTTCTTGTATACAAGAACGGCATGACCACCATGTTATAACATGAACTGGTGCATGTTCGTCTTCCTCCAAGCCCCTGTTGCCAGGTCTTCGCCCAATTGATGCATGAGCTGAACAGTCTGGGAGAGGGCCTCCGCTACAGCCAGAAGCTGATGATGGCTGCTGGGGGGGGGGGGGGCGGGGGGGGGTGGGGGGGGGTGGGGGGGGGGGGGGGGGGGGGGGGCAAATCAGGGGACGACGACGAAGATGACGACAAGGAAGATGATGATGACGACGATGAGGACGACGGACTCGATGTGGGGAGGGCGGTGATGGTGCCGACGGCGGCGTACACGTGCCTCCCCGTCTCCCATGCCCCACTCCCCATCCACCATGCCCCTCTCCCCATTGTATCCTCATCCCTCATGCCTCCCTCCCCAAATGCCCCCCCCCCCCCCCCCCCCCCCCCCCCCATGCATGCCTCCATCCGCCTCATCAGCCATACCTCCCACTTTCCATGTCTCCTCACCCTCCATCGACTCCCCGCGTATACATACGCCGTGTCCCCATCTATGTTCGTTCTTGTTTGCGGTCGCCCAGGCTGCCTGGGACGAAGCGTTCTCCGCGACGCACCAAGAGAACTACCGCAAGGAGTGCGGCCGCAAGCCGACAAAAGCAAGGTTGGAAGGGATTCGGCACCCTTGCTTGCGTCGCGCGCTCTGGTTGGGAGGTGAGGGGGATCGATGAGGGAGATTCGGAAGATGTTGAGATGAGGGCGGTGAGGAAGGCGAGCTTAAGCTGAGGAAGATGATATATATATATATCGATGAGGAAGGTCAGGCAGGTGAGGAAGATGAGGATGAGGAATGAGGAGATGAAGACGAGGAAGACGAGGAAGCTGAGGAAGGTGAGGAATCTGAAGAAGAGGAGGAAGGTGAGGAAGACGAAGACGATGAGGAAGATGAAGACGAGGAAGATAAGGAAGATGAGGAAGATGGTGGAGGTGAGCGTTCAGAGGGGGAGACATCAACAGCAGCAGCATTGATGAGAATGAGGAGGGTCATACCAGAAATGATGAAGGATACATGAGGATGCGGAAGATCAGCAGCAGTGCTAGGACGATGAGCCTATGTACTAGCAGGTACGTCCAGAGCAGGATGATCAGGATCATGTTCTCGCACTGGCTTCGCACGCGGGGCCCAGAGGCGGCCAGGGGACGGGTGTGCATGCATGGGATGTCATTGCATATATTGACACAATGTATGGTCTTGCCCGATGGTGTGTTATCAGATCGGTTCTCTTAGGCATGTATGTTATCGTGCCGTCTTGACTTGTCGCCACACACCCAGTAATGTTTCATAGTGTCCAGTCTTCGGCTGTCGATTCTAGTTTCTTATCGTTCGGGTTTGTTTAATAGAGTGTAGTCTGTCGTGCACGTCATCTGGTCTGATATTGGATTATATGCTGTGCCATCGTAGGTTGTACGCAACAGCGCATTGCATTGTCGTATAGTTCAGTAGTTTGTATGTGCTTGTCTTGTCCTATCGGGCGCATGTTCTACACTCGCATCCTGCGTCGAGGTCATCATGCCCATTGTGATTGTGACTCCTGCTTATTTTTCATATGCCAATACAGTCCTGTTCATGGTTTGTCCACGGTGCACCGCCCCTCGATCGGTTAACAATCGTTGCTCCTCGGACATTCCTCTCCTCCCCCCCTCCACGCCAGTTGGATTAATCCGCGCAGTAAGGGGTAAGGGGAGATGATCATGGACGACAGCGACGTGGACGAGGATGAGTTGAACACGTACTTCGAGGCTGTGCGATCGCAGGAGGGTTCCGAGGTTGCTTGCCCTCCGGCGCACAGGGGCAGCAAGAGGGGGGGATGGGCTGAGCTCGTATTGAACAAATACTGTTTCGTGCAATTTTTTTCTGTGCTGAGTCCCGTTGATGGCCCCTGGATCCCGAAAGCGACAAAACACCGTTGTTGTCAGGAACGTTGGAGGTCGTGGGCCCCTTCTCGCGCCCTCGTCAGCCACAATATTTCCCACCAGGGCTGGACCTAAACGCTGTTTTGTTTTTCGTTTTGGGAGGGAGATATATACAGGGAAACAGGTAGAGCAAAACGAACATCAAAACGAACATCAAAACGACAACGAAACTAAAAACAACGTTTAGGTACAGCCCTGTTTCCCACTCCTGCGGATCGTGCATGTCTCCCTAGGTGCCTGTGCCCATGTTCAGTGCCAGCCTCCTGGGGCTTCACTCTTCTGAGAAGAAGAAAAAGTCAAAGAACACACAAGAAAAAGGACAAGAAATACAAGAAGCACAAAGGAGGCGAGGCCACACAGCAGGGACCAACAGTCGACCTCTCGAGTGCTGCAGCGGCGGCGGCGGCAGTGGGCGTTGGCACGGCGCCGTGGATGCTCCCTGACAGCGCCCTGATCAAGAAAAAGTCGACCACGCGCGCGGCCAAGAAGCCAGCAGCAGCCGAGGCAACAGTAGAAGCAACAGAAGCACCCACGCCGCAAAAAAAAAAAAAAGCATGGCAAAGGCAAAGAGCATAGCAAAGGCAACGGCAAAGGGAAAGGCAAAATCAAAGGCAGGCTCGAAACCATTGGCAAAGAAGGCAAAGACGGTCGCCGTCGAAGTCATCCCCGACGAGATCGAGGAAGGCAAGGATGAGGACGGAGACGAGGGAAACGAGGAGGGCGAGGAGGAGGCGCCAGACATCGATCCCCCTGTGGACGAAGAAGAGGATGAGGAGCTCGCAGAGATCAAAAAGTACCAGCTGAATGGCTTCTGGGCAATCGATCTGGAGGGCACGGTTTGGACGTACAGCATGCGCCGCCGCGAGAATGAGAGCATCTCGTGCATCTACAAAAAAGCAGCGCTGACAATAAATGGTGCCAGCTCGTCGGGTTCCGCGACGCTTTGTTTCAGGAAAAGGACCTGCCAGCGATGAGAGACAAGCTCCTCAAGGCCACTCTCGCGAGGATCGTGACAGAAGGGGTGGCAGAGAACAAGCAGGCCGCAACGATCCGCGACGAGATCCACGGCGCGTGGACGGCGGACTGATGGCGGGCAGGGGTCGATCGTCCCATGATCGATGACCCTCGGAGTTTTTCTCGCGTGGGACACAAGAGGAGGAAGGAGGTAGGAGAGGAAGAGGTAAGGAGGGAGGAAGAGGGATCGAGGTGGGAACGGGAGGTGGAAGAGGGACGGAGGCACGCAACTGTTATGTAGTTCCATTGTGGGGCCCTGTGGGGCATATAGGGCACATGCAGCAAGCAGGCGAGTTATTTGGGAGCGGAGGCGCGGCGCTGACATCGAGAATATCTTCATCACCATGCAGGTGGTGCTTTCATATATCCTGGAGAGGCTCGACGGGGTGGGGCATCACGCAGTTAACCACCGTCGCAGGTGATATCGTGATGACCTGCTCTCACACACACTACCGTGTTGAACTGTGTACATATCAGGTCGTATAAGCCGCTCAACCAGCAGGGACGGTATACGCTATGATGTCATAGGGTACGGGATGCGACGCTATGCTGTGCTACGCAATGCAATGCAACGACATGGCACGACACGCTGATATATGATTTGCTATGCTGTTGTACCCATATGCTCCATGCCATGCTATACTACGCATTGCATTGCACATCTGTAGCGCACGCAATGGTATAGGGTATGTAAGTCGATTCAATGCGTTGGTTGTGTATGCGATGCTACGCCGTACGATGCTCTATAAAGCTATGCGATGCCATCGTGCAGTATGCCAACAACAACATCGTGCGGCAGAACAGGTGCGCATGGAACCCGTGTGTTCCCAATTCTGTAGCCATTTCGGCCCAATGTGCCCACCCTACTCCCGCTCCGAGCTGCCTGTGCCCATGGCCGAGTCCGACGACAGTTGGCTGAGCCCGCAGCGCGCGTTCGACCTTTCCGAAGGCTGGCGAGATCAGCAAGACTCGTCCGACTACGCCGCCGTCAACACGCAGGAGACCGACTACCACCTCTCGCGGGAGACCGACCCGACCGTGCAGCAGAACAACCTCGAGGATACCGCCCAAGCGCCGATCCTGCACAGGACGTGGGGGACAGGAGTCCTCCAGGCGGCCGATGGGCCGATCGATGTCGATGAGGAGCCGATCGATGTCGATGAGGAGCCGAGTGATATCGAGCAGGAGCCGACGTCGAAGGATATCGAGCACAAGACGGAGGATATCGAGCAGGAGCCGACGGCCAAAGATGATATCGAGCAGGAGCCGACGGCCGAGAGTGCTATCGAGCAGGGGCCGACGTCGACGGATATCGAGCAGGAGCCGACGGCCGCGGCGGATATCGAGCAGGAGACGGCGGCCAATGGGGATATCGAGCAGGAGCCGACCGCCAATGGGGATATTGAGCAGGAGCCGACGGCCGCGGAAGATATCGAGCAGGAGCCGACGGCCGCGGAGGATATCGAGCAGGAGCCGACGCCGAAGGATATCGAGCAGGAGCCGACGACCGAGGGCGATATCGAGCAGGAGCCGACGACCGAGGGTGATATCGAGCAGGAGCCGACGCCGAAGGATATCGAGCAGGTGCCGACGCCCAACAAGGGCAAGACCACGGCCGTCATCAAGACGATCAAGAAGGACGGAGCTCCCAGGAGCGGCTAGGGCGCCTTGGACGGGCGCGGAGTGTAGGAAACCCACAGTGTCATCCCAACCATCACATCACCACCACCACCATCCACACCACCACGAGCACCATGCATCACCACTAACACCAGCACCACCATCATCCTCTTCATCGTCACCATCACCATTACCACCGTCATCAGCATCATCATCATCAGCAACATCAACATCACCATCATCATCATCAGCATCATCATACTCACCGTCAGCATCACTAGAGCATGGAGCGGTTGCCAGCATTACCATCATCGTGGAAACGTGGTGCCCTCATCTCCCCATCCGCTCTGCTACGGTGAGGGCTCATGCCAAGAACCACCGTGCTTCCCTCCAGGTGGTCCGTGGGGCGGTATTGCGGAAATCCCTTGGCCGAAACATCGATCGACCTCCTGGGGATTCAGGGTCGGATTTCTGGTGGGGGGGTTCTGGTGGCCGAGCCCCTACTGCGAGCAACTCCCTGGTCTCATACACTCCCCTCAACTCCCCTCAGCTCCCCCTCAGCTCTGCTAAGCAATTCCATGCTGATATAAACTCGCCGCAGCGTCCTTTCAATGACTCAGCTCTGCTCTTCAGCTCCCCCTCGATCTGATCATCCTCACCTCTACTCGCCTTCGGCTGCACTCCAGTGTTGCTCCCATTTGGCTTAGCAGATGGGTGCCAGGATTGACCTCGGCACGAAGCGCTACCTGCACAAGCACATCCAGGCATGCAAAGTACTGAGGCTTCCTTGGGGGGTCGGGGCCCAGCGAGTTGAATGTATAAATTTGCTTGGGGTGGATGGTGTCGCCTCAGCTCCACTCCTCCGCTCAACTCCTCAGCTCAACTTATCAGCTCAACTCCTCAGCTCAACTCCTCAGCCCAACCCCTCAGCTCAACTCCTCAGCTCGACTCGTCGGCCCCTCAGCTCAACTCCTCAACTCCTCCGCTCAGCTCCCCAAGCTCGTGTATATACGAGCTTGGGGAGCTGAGCTGAGCTCGTGTATGTACGAGCTCGTATATAGATACCCTCAGCTCAACTCCTCGCGTCCTCCTTAGCTCCACTCCTCAACTCACCCTCTCAACACCCCCATGGAGATCGGGAGGCAGCTATCCGCGTTGGGTAACTATTTTGAGAACGTGGATACCGTTGCTCTGCGAAAGATCGCTGCGAGAAAGACATGTTGATTCTCTGTGCTGCCTGAGCCAATCTGGCTTGTGAGAGAGACAGGGGTGACGTAGTGTTTCCACTCGTTGTTGGCTGAATGTGCGTCTCTCCCTGCACGTGCACAGCTGACATCGGTCACAACCGCACGTGTCGTTCACGTTGTACACATGTGTATGTGCTATATGTATAGATGGCACATGTATGAGTGTACGCCAACATTCGCATAATAGCACATACATGTATGACATACTTATAGTAGTGTATGTGTGTCTGTACATGTAGAACTATTGAACGTTTACTACGTATGTGTGCATGCATATGTATACATATGTGTATACGTGTCAGGGCTCTGGGCGTACGCGATGTTTCCTGCTGTCGCATCGTGGCTCATCCTGTGGTCTCGCACTTTCACCGTTCAGCTGTTTGTCCATGTGCAGCCTTCTGCTACCAAGCACGCGCATATAGCAAGGGGGCCGGCCCGAGCGCCCAGCTTCAGAAGCAGGCGAATAGGGCGCATTGGAGCAGCCGAGGGCGAATAGGGCTTTCCAGGAGGACGGGCAGAATATTCGAAAGTCAGCACTGAGGATGCTGACATTGGCTGCGCCTTGAGAGCGGCAGATCGTGAGAGGATCGAGGGGGGATGAGGTCGGCTGGGACTGCGGGGGCGGTCAGCGCTCCCCACGGGCAGGGAGGGGAGGGAGCATATGAGAGGAGAGCATGGGGGGAGGAATGGAGGGAGGGTGAGGCAGGGAGGGAAGAGAGGAGAGCGAAGCGACGGATGATCTGGTCACGCACTCGAACCAATTCTGGATCTAGAGGTCGAACCGTGGGTCTGCCCAACTTGATATGGTATACGCCTGGGCTGGCGTGACGGGCGTTCGTGACCGCTTGCTCGTGCTTGTGCGCATGCCACGACGGCCAAGTCGCGTGAGCATGCCACGGGTGATGGATGTGCATGTGGTCGCACATGTGCACGCACGTGTACAGACGCACTCACGTACGGACGCACACGCACGACACACACGTACCTACACAATGCAGGCGCGCGTGCATATGTGCATCGCGTCACATGTACATTCACGTACGCGGGTATACAAGGACAGACATACAAGCCGACAGCGTGATATATGAAGCGTGTGTGTGGGCATGTACAACCCAGATGCGTGTGCGCGCGCATATATATATATATATATATATATATATATACGCATGTGCGCGCGTGAGTTTGCCCACTGGGAGGGGGGGGGGGGTGCTCTATCAAGGTAGGCCTATGTGGGCCTGGGCCCTGGGGCCCACAGTGCGCAACTGGTCGGGGTTTGTCATGGGTTCTGGGGCGCCCTTTGGGTGATGTTTGCCCCCCTTTCCCCCGCGCGTCTGACGCTGGTGCGACCTCTAAAGGGTGGGGAGAAGGAGGGAGGGTGCCCGCGCCGCGCAGGTGAACGTGCTCGATGACCGAGTCCACCACACCAACTTCGCTTACAGCGGGTGGCTTTTTCTACGAGAAGCACACTTGGGGCCACACAGGATCCCCAAGCGGGCACCTAATGCACCCGAAGCTCAAGAAGGTGCCGTCGGGTGGCCACAGTGCACCATTGTGGCCACCGACGGCGCCTTCCTGGGTTTCGGCGGCGGGCCTGCGGGGCCGCGCGGGGCCATCGGGGCGGGCCCACGTGGCGTTGCGGGTGCCCCGCGGGCCACGCGTGGCTCGCTGGGCACCTGCAGCGCCCCTTGGGTGCACCTCGAGGACCCCAGGCAGCTCCTGAAGCCCATGAAGGTGCCGTCGGCACTTTCAAGGGGCTGAAGTAGGTCGACGGGTGACCACAGCGGCGTTCGGATCCTCGGTTTTGGCGCCACGCTGGGCCATCGGGGCGAGTCCACGGGGCGCTGGGGGCGGTTCAGCGGGCCATTATGGCCCGCGGGACGCCCTCTGCGCTCCTCGGATCGCCCCGATGACCCAACGCGGCACCCAAACCCTGCGTCCGAACGCAGCGGTCGCCCCCGTCGACCCACTTCAGCCCCTTGGTAATGCAGAATTTGGTGTCCTGTGTTTTCCTGGCGTTTTCCTGGCGTTTTCCTGGCGTTGTCCTGGTGTCCTGGTTTCCTGGCGTTTTCCTGGTTTCCTGGCGTTTTCCTTGCGTTTTCCTAGCGTTTTCTTGGTTTCCTGACGTTTTCCTGGTTTCCTGGTTTTCCTGCCGTTTTCCTGGCGTTTTCCTTGTGTTTTCCTGGTTTCCTGGTTTCCTGGTGTTTTCCTGGCGTTTTCTTGGTTTCCTTGCGTTTTCCTGGCGTTTTCCTTGCGTTTTCCTGGCGTTTTCCTGGCGTTTTCCTGGTTTCCTGGTTGTCCTTGCGTTTTCCTGGCGTTTTCCTGGCGTTTTCCTGGTCTAGGTTTCCTGGCGTTTTCCTTGCGTTTTCCTGGTGTTTTCCTGGTTTCCTGGCGTTTTCCTGGCGTTTTCTTGGTTTCCTGGCGTTTTCCTAGCGTTTTCCTGGCGTTTTCCTGGTGTCCTGGTATTTTTCTGGCGTTTTCCTGGCGTTTTCCAGGTTTCCTGGTTTCCTGGTGTTTCCCTGGCGTGTTCCTGGTTTCCTGGCGTTTTCCTGGCGTTTTCGTGCTTTCCTTGTTTTCCTGATGTTTTCCTGGCGCTTTCCTGGCGTTTTCCTGGTTTCCTGACGTTTCCTGGTGTTTTCCTGGCGTTTTCCTGGCGCTTTCCTGGTTTCCTGGTTTCCTGGCGTTTTCATTGCGTTTTCCTTGTTTCCTAGCGTTTTCCTGGCGTTTTCCTGGCGTTTTCCTGGCGTTTTCATGGTTTCCTGGTATTTCCTGGCGTGTTCCTAGCGTTTTCCTGGCGTTTTCCTGGCGCCCTGGCGCGCCTCCTTTAAGTCCCGCCACCCACCCTTGGGCTATGGTGCCCCACGAGCGCACTCGCGGCCGCCTTGGGGGGGTGCGCATTGCCGTTCAGCGACCTAGGATGGCGTTCGCGACGCTCTTGTGGCGTGCGTGTACCTTGGGGCGTCGCGAACGCCCTCCTTCGGCGCCCCCGCGGGCCCCGCCCACGCGCGCGCCCGCCCCGACCCCCTCCCATGTGTGGCCACCACCCACGCTCGACCCCGCGTCGCGTCGCGCGCGTCGCAACGGGCTGCGCGCGCGTGCGCGGGGGCGGGGGGGGGCTTAAGTTGCGCGCGCGGGCTCGGTGCGCGCGCGTCTGCCCAGCTGGGCGTGCCTTCTGCGCGCGGCGCAGCCTTCGCCGAGCAGGCGAATAGGGTGCGTTTCGCGCCTGGCATATGTTGCACCCGCAGAAAAAGAAAAAGGTGCGTGTGCGTGTGTGTGATCATGCGTGCGCGCGTGCGTGTGTGTGTGCGCGCGTGTGTGTATATATGTGCGTGTGTGTGTGTGTGCATGTGTGTGTGCGAGCTTCGTGCAAACACGGTCCACGCGCGAATTCGTGTCGGCGCACTGATGCGCGCGCGCAGGGTGCGAGCGCGCGCGTCCCGTCACGCCCCTGGCGTATATGTTGCAGCCCGTCAGTATATATGTTGCAGGCGCTGAGGCCCCACTGCGCCCGCGAGTGCAGGCGGTTCCCCCAACGATTCGTCGGGCCTTGGGGCCGAGAGGGCGGGTTGCCCGCCTCCGCCCCGCCTCCGGCGGTGACCCCCGATCGGTGTCGATCTGCATGTTGGGGATGACCGTTATTTGGTTTAACAGAAGCGGTGCGAGGCACTCGCATGTGGCTGTATATCATATACGTGGGGGGGGGGGGGGGGTCGTATGTAAATGCATGTGTAGGGTCCTGGGTGTGGGTACGTGTATGTAACAAAAGTACTTGGCACACGCATACACCTACATACCTATACATATTCATAGACATGTGCGTGTGCATGATTTCTATATGCAGAAATGACATGGGTGGTGGGTATGGGTACATGTATGTATCGTGTATGTACTGTGGAATGCCCACTTAAGCTCAAGGTCTGACAACACGTGTTGGGCACATATGTACAGAACGACGTTTGTCGGGGAGGTGGCCCATGGGAAAGCGAGCCAGCGGCAAAGCTAAAGGAAAGGCTGGCTCCAGAAAGCGTGACGTGGAGACCCGCGAGAACGAAAACGCCCTGGCGCGTTTGCGGTGCCCTGGGGTCCCTCGATATCGAATGGCTCGAGGTGTCGGTCTAGGGGTTTGGGGGGCCAGCGCCCCTCTGGCAAGGGGCGAGGAAGGTACCGTATCGAGATGGAGAAGATGCTCACAAAGGCTGAGTACAAAAAATTTCGGCGCGCAAGTGGGCCAAGATCTGGGATGAGTCAGGCGATTGGGTCGCTCATGTGACTGTTCTTTCCGTCGGGGGGATTCGAGGAGAGAAGCGGGACGGCGAGGATGATGACGGCCCTGATGCATCAGGAGTCTGGGAGGCAAGGCCGTTCAAGAGTGGCAAGGGCCTAGAGGCTTCAGGATGAGTGATTATAGTGTCATCCTTGTACTGCGTTCGCGATGCTGTTGTGTCGCTTCCCTCTCTGTTAGGCGATTGGGACAAGGTGTGCCAGGCCAAGACCGAGTATTACGCTAAAAAGAAGACCGAGCGAGCCCAGGGCAACTGGACCGATGTCGGGGGGAGCCTGTGCAGGGATGGGCGCAGCCGAAGTTGCCGAGAATGTTTGAGGCACGTGCACAAACGTTTGATGTATCATTGTCGGCGCTCGTTGCTAGTATTGCTGCATGGCTTGCCACTGTTATGACACCACGGGTACCCTCATTGATGCTGACAATAAATTAAAACTCAAGTGTCGGTATAACTCTTGTGCCACATGACCGTGCACTTATGCACGCATACATACATATATATACACATACATATACTTGCGCCTCAGCGCGCTGGCATGCGCTTTCGGTGCTGACACTGCCGCCGCACAGGAAGACGAAAGATCAGATTCTTGTCGACCTCGGCTGGCGCCCCGAGATTGCGGAGACGGCCTTCGGCAAGAGGCCTTCCCTGTGATTGAGATCGATGCGTGGGCGAGGGATGGGAAAGGACAGGAGCGAAAGGGAGGGCCAGGCAGGGGAGGAAAAGAGAAGTTGGAAACGGTGATGGTTGACGGGTATGGTTGAAGGGAGTGAAGGGGGGACGACGCTGCAACTCTGCAGCGGTCGATTGCGGTTTAGATGCAGGCAGTGGGCTACCATGGAAGCTACGACGGCCTATTGTGAGAAGCTCAAGGACCACACCATGGCGGGCCCATGGGATGTCGACATGCATGCACTGTTAATTCACACGTACACGACGGCCAGCGTGTACCTGTAGACATGGGTAACGGTGCACGCGCATGTGCACGCATACATACATATATATATATATATATAGACATATATACACACATATGTGCAGGTTGGCTTGTCCATTGCAGGTCTGCTATCTGAACCGCAGAGGAACGAGAAAGAACAACCTCGAAGGTTGTCTTGAGGGCCTGTGTGTCCTCTGTTCCCTACTCCTCGTATACCTCCTCTCCCTCCTCCGTGTCGGGGCGCGTCTGGTTACGCATAGTTGTTAGCTCCCGTCGAGGAGCGCCCCCGTGAGAGAGAGAGGGAGAGAGAGAGCGTAGAACCAAACGGGGCCGTGGAGGTCCACCCGCAGCACGGCATCCTCTTATATAAGGAGCTCGACTTCACCGAGATCACCGACCTAGTTCACAACCAGCAGAGGGAGTCAAACGTTACTGGCACTGAGGTCGACGCATCACAGGTTCAGAAAGCCATTGGGAAGTCACCCAAGCGTTCCAAGGTGAAGTCGGAGTCGGGTTCGCGTTCCTCCGACGGCAGCTACAGCTATTCGTATCACTCGTTTTTTTTGTTGTGTCGTGCCGAGCTGGATTGCAGTCGTGTGTGAACCTCGTGTGGCATGCACGTTGGGGGTCTAGCTGTCCTCCTCACTCGTGCCACGCCCGCTCCTTCTCCGCCCTCTCCTCTCCTCATCCCCCTCCTCCTATAGGAAGTCACCCTAACCCTCGCTAGCCTCCTCTCCCCTTCATCTTCCGCCAGCCTGTCGCCACATTGGAATCGAACGCTCGATGCACAATGCGAGTTCCTTGTTCCATCCACTCCTAACCCTCCAGCCTCTATAGGATTCTGAAGAGGCGCCGAAGATTGCTACAAGTTCTGCGGGTGCGTCTGCTGGCCCCTCTGGCGCGACGAACCTTAAAGCTGTGGAGTTGGCCAGCCTCCTTGGAGAGGCATCGCACGTCGGGTGCATCCTTGGATCCTACGTGGTGGGGAGGGGTCCGTTCAGCACGCTCGCGCATGTGCACGAGGCAGAATGGTGGGGGGCCCTGCGACTGTTCAGGGGCATCATATACACACATGGGGGTCTGAGATATACGTCCGACACAGTAGAGCGTACGCCTCAGCGCCTTACACACATGTGCGTGGGGATGGGTGCGGGGCAGACGAAAGCGAAGTCGGGCGTCCTGGCGCCATTCAAGGGAGACATCGAGAAGCACAGCTCCGCCATTGGAGACGCGACAAAGAGCATCACGGGTATGATACAGGGGACGCCAACATCTTAGAATTGCCTGTTGCATTGAATGGTTGCATCACTGATATACCCGATCAATGTTGCATAGGAAGGTCGGTCAGGGCCATCCTGTGCAATCTGTTGCACGCGCACGAAGGATGCATCGATCGATGCATATACAGATCGATGCATCGATCGCTGCATCGATGCATTGAAACATCGATCGATGCATCGATCGATGCAAGGATCGATCGATGCATCGATCGATCATTGAATTAAGGTCTGACGATGACATCAACGGCGTGAAGTCGATTATTACCGAGGCCCTCGTTATCCTGATCCTCCTCCCCCTCCTCCCGCTCCTCCCCCTCCTCCTGCTCCTCCTCCTCCTCCTCCTCCTCCCCCTTCTCGTTTTATCCGAACGTCACCTCTTCCTATAACCCCGTTCTCCAAATTCCTACCCCTCACTCGCTCTCTTCCTCATCCTCGATCTGCATCCCTTCCCCGATATCTTACAAGCTCCACGCTCCTTCACGTTCTCCTCGATCCTCCTCCTCCTCCTCATCATCATCTTCGCCCCCCTGCCTCTTCTTCCACCTCCTCCTCCCACTCCCCCGACGGCCAGAGGCGAAGAGTTTCCTGGAGGCTGTGAAGCCTGTGATGGACACGCTCGAGGCCGCCCGGCAGGCGCTAGGCAAAGCTACGGGGAAGTGAGATTGTTGCTTGCTGGGCCAGGTGTGGAAGATAATGATATAGAGGGGAATGGGGAGGGTGAAGAAGGGACGGGTGACGAGGAGGGGAAGGCGGAGTAGGGGAGGGACCGTGAGAATTCAGGAGGACCAGGGGAAAGAAGATGAGGAGAGTCATGGCCGCGCTCGGGCTTTCAAGGATTGAACGCCGCTGGCGGCACGAGATCGTTCTCAAACGATCGAGCGTTAAGGAAAGCAGCGATCGTTCAAGGTGAATTGTCGATCCACGCGGTGTCAAGAATTCCGACTCCAACGCGGCGAAGGAAGGCAGTAGCACAGTTTTTATTGTGCCGACGGTGACATGCGTCGAGCGCCACGTGGGTTCGAATCCTAGCTCGCCAGATCGACCGTGCGAGCCCGCTTTGAGAAAGAACGCGGCGTGTGCGACCGTGCCACGCTTGTGATTGTTCAGGTTTTGTTGCGTGTGCGCCCGGCAATATACCAGACATTCCAGGAGCACGCGGCATTGAGATTGCAGAGTCCAGGATCACACGGCATTGTGATTGCACTGGGGAGTCCAGGGGCACACGGCATTGTGATTGATCAGGTTTTGTTTATGTGGGTGCCCAACAATATATACATGAGATCTATAGGGAAGTGTCTTTGAAGTGCCCGCGGCAGTAGAGAATGCCAACGATTAGGAGGTCAGGGTGCCATGGTTAGGACGAGGATCGAGGGGGGGGAAAAGAAGGAGCTAGGAAGAGGAACCATGGTCAGGACCTTGCAGAGGGCAGCCTCGAAGATGCATGAGCAGGGCATCGCAAGCATCGTTAACAGGAGAGGGGCCGTGGGAGGGTCATGGCACTCGCTCCGCTGTCAGGCTCAGACGTCTTGCTCAATTTTCTTTCACTGTTATACCTGTTAACGTCCACTTCAGTTTCACCTGTACCTGGCGCTACTGCAGTTTCACTCGAGTTTCACATTTACTTGTTGTTTCACTTTTCAGAATGGCGGCTCGGGCGTCTGCGGAAAGTTTGGCCCTCGAAGTTCCGATTGTCCCGCGCGAGACCGACGGCGGGGAGGGCCTCAGGAGATACTTGTTGACGCAATATGAACAAGGCCTGATTCCAGCTTCGATGGTGAACACGATTGCATGGCATTGTGCTCGGGCAGGCAGTGCCCACCACATCCAGGATCTAGCCCATCCCCCAGAGAGCACTCACCACGCAGAACACCTTCGAGGTGTTCTTGAGAGCCGCTCCACAGAGACGTTCTTCAGCCCTCGGGTTCCAATGTGGGATCGTGTGGCCGACCGACGAGTTCTAGTGAAGTATCCAATGAATCTGCCGTTTGATCAATTCGCAGAGTCTTGGCGGGACAAGCCAGCAGACTGGAACCCTCAAAACTTTGATGCTGCAGATATCCCACCGACGCTGGCAAACCACCCTGTGGCCATTGCGAATCCGAATAAAACGTGCCCCCTTGGATATTTCAGCGATGGGTTTCCGACCACGAAGCGAGACGGATGCATCGCTCATTACTTCAGCAACAGTTTAACAGGCATTCGGTATCTAATTTGCGTGATCCGCAAATCCGACTTATGCAGGTGCGGGTGCAGAGGGTTCTGTACCCTCGGCACCATACTTCGCGTGATAGCTTGGGCATTCAACGTGTTGGCAGTCGGACTCTATCTTCTTTTAGATCACGAAGGCAAGCCGTTCGAGGATCTTGTGCGTGCAAACAAACATAGGTTCACCATCGCCGAAGGGTGGGTGGGCGCCTTGACTGAACTCCGCGCAGATTTGCTTGAGATTTTCGAGAGAATAGGCGTCACCAGGTTTTCAAATGTTCTCAACCCTTGCTTTCAGTGCAGCGTTCACAAGTCCAAGCTCTTCGACTTCCCTGTGTCAATGGAGGCATGCCAGTGGGTGCCGCGAGACGAGACAGTTTACAACCTTATGATGCACCGTGCTTTAGTAAAGAGGACAGTTGTGAATCGAGCGCAGTTGCGGCGTTTAATGACATGTATGCATTTGGACGAAGAACTCGGGGGATTGGGCCTCCACACGCCGTTCCCCGAGCTCGGTCTCGAGAAGGGCTACCGACTCATCGAGGATGGTGACCTTCACGATATACATGCTCTCAGAGATGCGGAAGTACCCATAGAACTTACATTCTTCAACGCGCTCTTGAATTTGGGTTTGAACATGATATGCCCCCTCTTCAGAATACATGGCTTCACTTATTCCATGATTCACTTGGATTCGATGCACGTGCTGGACCTTGGCGTCACACAGTTTGTGGTGGGCGCCATATTTCTCCTCATGCTGAAGCGCAACTTCGCCAAATCTCGTCATTTCAAAGCAGATGGTCGCCGTGCCGCCAACATCGACCACCTGAGGAGGCGATTGAAGGTGCACTACAGGATGAATCCTAAGACTCGAAGAGGGAAGCGTTCCAGGATCGACAAGATCTCCCTCAAAATGTTTGCTTCCGGACGATTACATGCCAAAGCCGCGGGGACGGCGCATGTGCTGCCGCTCGCGCAGCTTCTCATGCGAGAGAACCTAGCTCTCCTTCGTGGACAAGACAGGTATCTTCAGATGGCGCGCGACGAACTTGTCAAGGTATACGACATCATGGGAGACAACCCTCGCGTGATGACTGACGCAGCCCTTCGGAGCTTCCACCGAGCCACGTTGAGGCATTTGGCCTTCTGGCGTGCTTGGGGGGGGGAAGGTGGTGTTCAAACACCACTGCGCGGTGCACCTGGCTGCCAGTGCCAGACGGCATGGCAACCCCAAGTTTTACACCTGCTACCCCGATGAACGGTTAAACCGCACCATGGGGCGCGTCGCAAAGTCTGTGCACGGCGGTGAGACGTTTTACAAGACCTTTCTAGGCAAGGTTATACCTTCGCGTTGTTAATTCGGACCTGTCGCGCCGCCCTCCTCCGAAAACCTCCCTCTTCCACCCTCCTCTGAAAACCTCCCTCCTCCCTCCTCAAGCCTCAAACCTCAATCCTCGTCGATGACCCTCGATCCCTCCGCTCTCCTTGCCGTAGCCATTTTGGCTTCAATCCTCCCTGTCACCCCCTCCCTCCCTCCTCTCTCCTCAATCCTCTATCCTCAATCCTCAACCCTCCTCCCGCCTCAATCCTCGTTTTCTTCTCCCCCCTGCGGAGTGGCCCGCGGGGTTCGGCCTAGCTGTCCATATCGCGCGGCGCTCGACGCCGAAGGCGGGCAGCGAGCTCGGGTGGGGGAACGGGGGGAACCTATAGGCATGTATATGTGGTATATGTGTACGCATATGTGTGTTGATGTATGTATATACAGGTGTGTGTACACATACATATGTGTAATTATGTGTATATATATATACATATGTATATAGGTATGTAGATATACACAGGGACGTGGGGGAGGAACGCCAGGCGCCGCGACGGGGCGGATCCATCGCGCAGGAGCGCGTTGCCGAGGGCAAGAAACGAGCGGACCGCTGCCCGTGTCCAGGGTGCTTGCTTTTCTTCCCTCTCCCACCTCCAGAACATCGGGAAGGATGTGTTTGGTGAGTGGCGGCGCCCAGGGGCCCTTCACGTGCACCAGGGCCGCCGGAAACACCCAGGACGAAATGATCCTGGGGCGTCGACTTCCTGGGGCCCTTGGGCGCCCCTTCCGCGCCCAGGGAACAGCAGATCGCCACAAACATTAGTCTTTTGTTAACAGAAAATTATGTGTGTGGCGATGTGCTGCTTTAAGGGGCTCTTAACGGGCACCAGGGGCACAGTTGTAACGATCAACGGGAAATTGGTCGGGTCGACTTGGGGCCCTGCCGCGCCTTCTGCGCGCCCAGAGGGGGCGATCGGCAGGGAGATCGGCCGCGCGCTTCGATATTTTTGGTTACTCGCGGCTTCCAGGGGCCTTGAACGGGCGCCAGGGCCATTGAAACAACTTCAACCAACACCAGAGCCACTAACAAAAAAAACCTCAGGACAAACAACCAGGGGTCGAGTAACGAAAAACATCGAGACCTCGACGTTGGCGATCCCCCTGGCCTGGCTTCCCTCCTCCTCCCTCGCCCGCTCCTTCGCCCCCCACCTCAGCACCTCTACCTCCCCTCCCCCTTGAAGCGTGGTTCAAGATGATGCGCGCTGTGATTCGTCGAATCGATCTGCCGCCCGTCGGGGCGTGGCTCCGAATATGCACCCCTTGGGCCCCGCATGGGATGTGGGTCCTCGTAATGCCAGCGCCCGCCGTGTTCTTGGTGCACGCGGCCCCCGCGGGGCCGCCGCCACCGCAGCCTAGAGCTTAGGCAACGCCATCGATAAATGGTCGACCGACCGATCGATCGGGCCCCGAGGGCTCCACGAGGATCCCCGATCCGAACGGCGATCGGTCGATCGATGGATCGATCGATCGCCGCTCGGCCCCCCGAGGCCCCTCGTCGACGATGACTGGGTCACGAGCAGCGAGGACAGCGTGGCCGAGACGATCGAATCTAGCTCCGACGCGCCCGTCGAGATCAGCGACGACGACTAAGGAGGGGGTGGGTGGAACTGCTCCTCCTCCTCCTCCTCCTCCTCCTCCTCCTCCTCCTCCTCTTCCTCCTCGGATCCTCATCCTCCTCTTTCTCCTCCTCCTCCTCCTCCTCCTCCTCCTCGGATCCTCCTCCTCCTCCTCCTCCTCCTCCTCCTCTTCCCCAGTCCCCCGTCGAGCCCGTGCGAGGCGGCCAATGCGGCGTTAAGATTCGCTCGGGCCGCGGCCCGTTTGTGGCACCACCGCATTGGTAGCTATACATATATATATATATATATAAGTTATACACATTTATATATATATATATATATATATATATATATCCGTCTCGGCTTGCGGGCCACCGCTTCGGTGGATGTCTTGCGCGGCGCACTGCTTCGCTTCGTGTCTTGCGCGGCGCTTTGTTTCGCTGGATGTCTTGCGCGGCGCTTGGTTTCGTTTTCAGGGCGTCGCAGATGAACGTTCGTCTTGATTTTTTCAGGCGCTTGATTTTTTTCAGGGCGGTCGGCAGCGCCCTGAAAAAAAATCATGACGGAGGATGTCTGGGGGGAGGGCGTTGCCACGGCTGGTGCATTTGATGGACATGCATTTCCTCCACGAGCCAGTCGTCTTCGGCACCGCGGATCCGCCGCGGCCGCGCGGGGGCCTTTTCGCAATCAGCAGAGGGCAGCTCGCGTTCATCCTGGGCGCATTCACCCGCCGGGGGAAGCCGCTCGCGGACATCGTCCCGCTGGTGGCGTGTCGCGACGGCGGCCGCGATCTCCTGAAGGCATCGTGCAGTCACGCCACCACGTGCCCCGCAAGCCATCTCGTCGACGTCGGCCTCCACTGCGCAGTCGCCACCGGGGTCGCTGATCGACGCGGGGCGAGCATTCTGTTCGAGGATGTGCGGGAGTCGCGATGCGCCTTGCCAGAGCCGAAAGCAGACGACCTGCGCCAGACTCGCCAGGCCGCGCAGGCGTGGGCCGGCGGGGGCATGGAGTTGCCGCGCGATGGCAGCTGCCACGTGGACCACAGCGTCGGTGAAATCATTCCCGCGGGACGCGGGGGGATGTGCCCACTCCCAGTCCCTCCGCCTTTGCCCGCGCCGATGCCGCGCGATTGATCTTACTGCGTCAGGCGAGAAGCGCCCGCGGTCCATGGCAGAGTCGCGCGCCGTGGCGCGCCGGTTGCCAGTTCGTCTGGGGCCGGTCGCCCAGCGAGTCCGCCGCGGGCCGCGCGGCGCTTGGCCGCCGCTTCGGAGATGGCCTCGCCGCCGCCGAGAGGCCGCGGCGATGCCGACTCCGAGGGCGCGGGCAGATCGGCGCGGGGGGGCGCGGGGGCGCGGCGGCGAGCAGATCGCCTCGCGCAGGGTTGCAGAAGCATTTGGCAGAGCAGGAGGCGCTTGGCGTGCCGCACCACGCAGCGATTAGCAGCGAGGACCACAAGTGCTTCTGGGTGCTGGCCTTGCCTTTGCCCCGGCAGTTCGACGCGAGGCGGAGGCGCTGCCGCACATGCGCGGCGGCTGGTCTTCCGAACCGTTATTTCGCCACGGACGTCAGCGACGTGGTGGCCGCTGTGCCGGGCGTGCTCCACTTGCGCTTGGAGAAGCAAGGGTCGGTGTTCATGACCAAGCAGTTCTTGTTGCACCTCGTCCAGCTCTTCCACGATAGACTTTGTCTTCGGCAGACTCGCCGCGCTTTAGTGGAGCAATGCTGCGCTGGCGCTGCAGGGCTCCGAGCGGCCGGGCGAGTCCTCTCGTACTTGCGAGCCATTCCCACGGCGCCGGGCCTCAAGCAAATCTCGTTGACGGCGCTCGAGGGCTACCTGGCCGAGGCGACCCGCCACATGCTGAAACGCATCAACGTGTACTCGGGCGCCGTCATCAGGGGCGACGGCAATTACGAGCAGGCCCGGAAGGTCGCCGTGGAGGGCGACAGTGGGAGAGATCGCCCGTGCACGGTCCTGCTGGCCTGGGTGACCGTGGGCGGGGCGCTCTACCAGCCGCCGACGCTTTCAAGGTCAGAGGACGTGAAGGATGCACTGCAGGACCTGGGCCCTCTGGTGGGCAGCTTCAAGCAGGACCGGCTGGAGGCAGGTCTCAGCCTAGTGGACTCGGCTCCGGCAGTGCACGCCACGGACGTCTACGGAAGGCAGCGGTTGCAGCTGAATGCTTTCTACAGAAGGATGTACCCGGAGCTCGACGCCGACGCGGCGGCAGGGGCCCCGACGCCGAGGGGCGACGCGACGGGCGCTCGGACGCGCTTCGCCGGTTCTCCGACCACAGTGACAGGCGATCCGCTGCACGACACGCTGGCTGTCATGCGGCTCATCAGCGCGGCCTCGCCAGACGCGCGGAATATGTGCTACGACCACAAGGACTTCCGATTGCTTTTCGGGTCAACCCGAGTCCAACGCGGGCATGCCCCAACCATCCTGCAGCGCGGGGTCCTCGCTCTGAGTAAACGTCGCCCCATTTCCCCCTCCTCCCTTCTCCCCCGCCCCCATTCCCACCCCCCGCTTCTGCCCTCCGCATCGCCATCGTCATCGGCGTCGTCGTCAGCGCCAGCATCGTCATCATCGTCGTCATCATCGTCACGCTTGTTATGGCCATCCCTGCCGTCGTCGCCATCGTCGTCATCGCCATCATCATCAACAGCATCCCCCCACAAGGCAGACATTCACTCTTCAGTGGACATATAGGCGGAAATGGCAAAAAAATCCCTCCCACAAGGAGTTCCGCCCAGGGTCCCGGTGGCCGCGTTCCCGCGCATTCACCGCCCCACTCTGGCGCCCCATAAGGAGCTCCACCTCTGGTCCCAGCGGCAGGGTTCGCATGCGCGACCGCGCCAATTCTCCCACTCCCCTCGCGCGTTTCGTGGCTCCATAGAGAGCTCCGCCTGTGGCCCCAGGGGCAGGGTGCGCATGCGTGACCGCGCCAATGGCAAGCCCCTTGCGCGCCTCGTTGCCCACTGGGGAGGTCCACCGCAGGCCCCAGTGGCAGCGCCAGCAGGGCGTTGCTCCGCGCATATCGGCATGCCCCGCACGCGGATCGTTGCCCGACAGGGCGCCCCGCCGAAAGCCCCAGCGGCAGGGTCCGCGTGGCGCTGCCCCGCCCAGGAATGCGCGCCCGTCACAAATTTCGTGACCCCGCGTTGAGCTCCCGATCCTTCGTCCCAATTGCATCGCGGCACTCACAGTTGCTTGTTTTTTTTTCCGCCATGGTAATTTTCATTGGGGCAGGGGGGGAGAGGGCATCACTCAGGTTTCCGCGGGACTGCTGGTAACTCCCCCCCCTCCCCCGCCGCCCCCCCCCCCCTCGACTGCCCGACCAGCGCCGCGAGGACATGCTGAACCGCTTGTCGCTGCCGCCGCGACGCCCCGCTGCCGCTGCCCCGGTGCCCGCAGAACAGCTGCCCTCCGCACCAGTTGCCGGCCCGCCCGACGTGGGCGCAGGGGAACCGGCTGCGCAGCCGCTGGCAGTGGAGCACCATGAGATGCTGCGCAAGGCGGTGGAAAACACCAAGGATCGACCTGGCCCGGGGCGACGGCGCCGTGGCGGCGAGCGCGCCCCGTCAACCCGCAATTCCCCGGCGGGGCGCCCTCGCCGCCCCGGTCGCCACGGCCCGCGCTAGCTCGCGCCAGGAACAGACTGCAGCGGCAATCAGGGAGAACCCTGCTTCTGCGGACGCGGTTGCAGCATACTTGAAGCAGCCGCGGGTGGACCAGGAGCCCACGTGGCGCACCATTTTCGGCGCGTCGCCGACGCGGGGCGCCGTTCTTCGACTGTGCGCAGCGTTCGGGGTGCATGCGCACGACACGCTGGGATACCACGGCTTCGAGACGCTGGCGTGTTTCAAGAATGCCATCCGGACGCACCTCAAGTGGTACGCGCCCGGGCGCAAAACGTGCCGGGCGAGGCGCGGCATCTGCAGGCGCCTTCAGGCCGCCTCGCGCCTCCACGGCAAGCGCTCGGCCTTGACCATGTCCGTGCAGGCCCACTACGACCGCCTGCTCAAACCCCTGCGCCTCGAAGGCTTGTGGAAGTGGCGCGACGCTGCGCTGGCGATCGCCGATGCTGGCGTCCCGCTGCAGACCGGCACCGTTGCCGTGGAACGCTGGTGGGCGAGCCTGAAACACATGATGCCGGCCAAGGCGGCTTGCATTTCGGAGAGGTGGTTCCGGGTGTTGATTGGCCTCGCGTATTTGCGGCACAACCACCGGCACTTCGCGAGCGGGTCTTTGCCCAGCTGGTGCCGGGGGGACCCTTTGCTGCAGCAGCGTCTGGCATACTTCGCGGACTGCGCCCGGCTCGTGCAGTCCGAGGGCGACGGCCACTTGAGCGCCATCTTCGACCCGTTCCGCTGAGGCACCCTGGGCTGCAGTTGCCGGCGGTTGCCACTTCGCCCGGGGCTGGCGCGGCAGCAGTGCCGACTCGCGGAGGGGCGCGCCCGCGCCGCTGGTTGCCGGTTCGCCCGAGGCCAGCAGCGCGGGACCGGCCGCGGTTCGCCGCCGCGCCCCCCCCCACCAACAGGCGCGCGCGCGGTCGCGAGGAACGACCGCGACGTCCATCGCCTGCTCGGTAGGGCTACCGATGCACGGTCCCAGGCCACTCCCCCTCTCCTGCACCGCGCGCCGGTTGCCGGTCCGTCCGAGGCTGTCCGCGCGGGCCGCGGGGAGGGGGGCTTGGGATGTACTGGAAATCATTTGCAGGGGCCGCTCGCGCGCTACCGCCCCCGCGCCGTGCATTGGCGCCTGGGCCCGCGCGCATGTTGTCGCGCGCCGTTGGCCCCGCTCGCGTTCGACGTGCTATTTTTTGAGATCGGCCCCGCCAGTCTCCCCGGGGCCAGCAGCATGGGCGCGCGGCGCCCCATGCTACATTTCGCTTGCTGCATGCTCATCCCCGCAGGGGCCCGTGGAGCAATTCAAAATCCACGCGCCCCAATATGGGAATTCGCGCCAGGGGCCGCCCGCGCGCGTGCGGAGCACGTGCTGCGTGTCCCTTGCGCCGTTGGCGCCGGCTTGCCAAATCTGGTTTTTTATTTGGGAAGGTGGCTCGCGGTGATCGCGCAGGGAGCGCGCAGGCACAATGCATGCCGTTTGATATTGCATTGAACCCAGAGCGCCCGTTCGCGGCGCAACGCTGACTCTGCCCGTGCCCGCGGGCCCCGAGTCATTTGTTCCAGCTGCCCGCGCCGCCGCTACTGCTCCCCCTCGCCCGCCTCTGCCTCCCCCCTGTCCATCGCCCTCTTCCTTGTCCATCGCCCCCTTCCCCCGGCCCAACCTCGCCGCGCGCTCGAGTGCGTGGCGCGAAGCCCGCGCGCGGAAGCGGCGACGGCAAAAAACAACAGACGACGTCTGTTGTTTTTTGCCGCTGCCGCTCCCGCGCGCGGGCTTCGCGCCAGAGATCTTTACATGTCCCACACATGCGGACACGTCGGACCTGTTGTTTTTTTGTTCGCGGGTGCAAAACACATGCGGACACGTCGTGTCCGCATGTGTTTTGCACCCGCGTCATCGTCGTTTTCGGCGGCCCCCCGCGGGGCCCCCGGCCTCATCCGCCGCCAGAGGTCTTTACATGTCCCGCGGTCGGCCCCGGGGCCCTCGACGTCGTCCGCGGCAGACCCCGGTCGGAGCATGTCAGGGGCCTGGCCGGAGCTGGGACGGAGCTGGGGCGAGTCTGGCCGGAGGGGCCGAGGGGTCAGGGGTTTGCCTTCCGCCTCAGGTGCTCCTCATTCTGCTCTGCCGCGTTCGAGCCCCCCTTGCCTCATGATGCTCGGCTTCGCCCGCGCCCTCATTCCCCTCCTGGGCTCGATTGACCTCCCAGCCGTCTCCTATCTACGCGCGCCCTCTGCCGCGGAGCAGCCGGCGCGCTATGCCGGCCTCCTGCTCGATGCTCTTCGACCCCCGTCGTGCCGAACGGGAACGCCACTTTGTGAAGCACCTCCGCGCCAGCGAGCAATTCTACGCCCCCGAGAAGAGCGTGAGGATCGGGTTCCCATGCGCAGGAATTGGGAACCCAGAGAGAGCGATCGCGGAAGCCGGGTGGAAGTGCACGCCGCAGGAATGCCCTGGGCAACACAAATACGAGGATGACGTTAGAGGAGGAGGCGGCGGAGAGGAGGAGGTCGATGAGGAGGCCCTATCCGCCGTCCAGAAATTCCACCTTTGCCGATGCGCCAAAATCCGTCTGTGGTCGCAGGTGTCTGGGGTGTCTGGGGTGTCCCGGGTGCCATGGGTGTCTTGGCTGTCCTGGGTGGCTTCGGTGTCAGTGGGGTCTGGGGTGTCTGGAGCATCAAGTTTATCACGGGTGTCTGGGGCGCGAGAGTGCGCGGGGTGTCTGGGATTATCTTGGGGGCTCCCGGTGCATCAGGCGTCAGGGGTGCATTGGATGTCGCGGGTGTCTTGCATGTCCTGGGTACCCTGGGGGTTCCGTGGTGCCCGGGGCTTTTTGGGGTGTCTTGGGCGCCCTCTTCTCTCTCCGCCTCCTCCTCGCATTACCGATCACGGCGTCTCGCGACCTCTTCCTTCTTCATCCGCCCCCGCCGCATGCAAATACTCCTGCCCCTCATAATCCCCCACTTTCCCCGCCTTCTCCCCCTGCCCGCCCCCTGCCAACGCATCCGGGGCGCATTAGATTCAGAGGACGTCGTAGAGATCAACCCCAAGATTAGCGAGATTCTGAAGGAGCTGCACGCTTACTTGGGCACCCCTGATGAGCACTTGCACGCGGGCCCCTTGAGGGGCGACGTCATTGGCCACGAGTTTCAAGACGATAACGAGGTGATCATTTCTGGGCCACCTTGTCCTCCATGGAGCGCGGTGGGCCTACATATGGGAATGGATGATGGCCGGGCTTGCGTTTTGGGCTCAGTCCTTCGCGCCATCCGCAAGAGCGCCGAGTCTGGCCACTTGAAGATTGCTGTCCTGGAGAACGTTGAAGGGTGGCTCAGCAAGTATAAGCACCAGCCCGTGGCAGCGATCACAAGCATCAAGCAGTGGTTCAAGCACCACCTCCCAGAGTTTCGTTTCGCGGTCTGGAGGGTCAATTCACGGTTCTTATGTTTACCGCAGAACAGGCCTCGCGTGTACTTCATCGCGATTCGCCATGACCTCGTAGACGCCATGCCCAACGGCCTGTTCCCCAGCGCTCCTTGGATCACTGCGCCCGGCCCCAAGCTCCAGGAGTTCCTGCGCGCTGACGGCCGCGTCGATGTGCTTGAGTCCCTGACCGACATTCAGCGGAAGAACATCAATGACGCATGGCTCAAATTTGACAGGGCTATCCAGGACAAGGACGGGGCGGCGCTCGCTTGGGGTGAATCTTGGCCCTGCCTCCCGCCCAGTCGTCGCATGTTTCCCATCTTCCCTGATCATCCTCCTGGTCATCGCCCATTCCTCGGCCCCCCTTATCCGCCCCGCCCCCCTCCTCCAGTGGGCCCTTTGAACTCCCGCCGAGGACATTCTCGACGCCATCGGTTTCGTTGATTCGTCGCGAAGGGACGGAGGCAGCTTCAGGCAAAACATTTATTTCGACGTAGCGCCCACGTTCACGTGCAGCAACGCAGCTATTTGGATTTTGGGAAACAACCCGCCATACGTTGAGTATCCCGGCCGTTGGCTGACGATCCAGGAGCGCGTGCAGCTCTCGGGCATGAAGTACGCAGGCTGCATTTCCGACCTTCCCAAATCCCATGTCATGAGGGCGTGCGGCAATTGCATGCCAGTGGACACAGTCGGCTGCGTGCTTGGGCGGGTCTTCGAGGTCCTCAGTCAGTATGAGAGGGCGATCCGCGAGCTCCCTCCGCCGAAGTCCACGAGCATGCCTATGAAACGCAGCAAGCGCAAGAGCGCAGAAGAGTTGGCAGTGAGCGAGTATCGCCCGCCAAAGGCTTTCCAGTCTGCAGATCATTCGGAGGCGGCTTCCTGAGTTCCCGGGGGCCGCGCGTGCGCCGGCTCGGTTTCTTTTTCATTCCGCCGCGCCCTTGGCAGCCAGTTGCCGGTTCGTCCGAGGCTGGTCTGCTGGGGGCCGCGCGCGCGCCGGCTCGGTCCCCCTCTGGTTCCGCCGCGCCCCTGGCAGCCAGTTGCCGGTTCGTCCGAGGCTGGTCTGCCAGGGGGGCGCGCGCGCGCGGCTACCAGGCCATGTTGCTTTGCAGCGCCCGTGGCGGCCAGCCGCTGGTTCGGCTCCCCTCCGCGAGTTTTCTGCGCCAGCTGGCCAAGTCGGGCCTTAATGTGAGAAAGCGGCTGGCGGTCATCGCGACGGTGGATCCCAGTGTGCAGCGCAGACGCGTTGCGCTGAGCGTAAAGGGCAGGAGTACGCAGAGTCCCGGTAAACTGCGGCCCGACGGGGCCCCTTATAAATCTCGGCAGGAAGCCGTCGTCGTCGTCGTCGTCGACGTCGTCGTCGTCGTCGTGAGTGCTCGGACTCTGGCTCGGACTCATATGTTTTTCGACCTCGGCCCTCTGGGCCGCGAGGTCGCCAGGTCTCTGTGCATGCGTCTCCCCTTTGGGCCGCCTGCCACTTGGGTTTTCGGGCTTTTATGCCCCTCTGGCCCTGCGTCAAAACCCCCTGCGTTTTGATGCTGTGCAGGTCTCCCTGCACGCAGTGTTTTCACGGCCGCGCTGTCGCCGTGCACTGCTCGGTCGCTCTCTGCGCCCGTCTCATGACAGCTGGATTGCTCGCGGGCAAAACAAAATCGTCGTCGTCGTCGTCGTCGCCGGCGGCGCCGTGCTCCTCGTCGTCGTCGTCGCCCTGGGAGCCGGGGGGCCCCGGAACCCGTCGTCGTCGTCGTCGACGTCGTCGTTCCAGGGGGTCGAGGGACCGCGGGGGGGGGTCGAGGGGCCGCGGGGGGGGGGTCCCGGGACCCAGGGGGGATATCCCGGGGCTCGTCGTCGTCGTCGTCGTCGTCGTCGTTGTCGTCGTCGTCTGCCTCGTCGTCGTCCTCACCCCCCTGCCAAGAAAGTGCCCGCCAAGGGTATTAGCCGAGCTTGTGGTGGTAGCCCGCGGGTCGGATGTCGCGGAGTTGTAATTAGCCCGTGGTAATAGCCTGTGGTATTCCGCCGAGCTTGGAACAAAAGCGTGTCGTATGAGCCTACGGGCGTGGCTCCGCCTAGCGCCTATGGCATTCGTGGTATTCGCCCGCGGTACCAGCCTGAGATATTCCACCCAAGTCGGTTGTATTGGCCTGCGGGCCTGGTTCCGCAGGGCGACATGAGCAGGTGGCTTTAGCCAGTGTTTCAGTGTTTTTTTCGTTGGCGGTATTCTGGTGAGCTTGAGGTATCCATAGCCTGTGGTATGACACCGAGCTTGTGGTATTTGCTTGTTGTGTTGACCTACAGGCCTGGCTCCGCCGAGCGCTTGTGGTATT